GACATGCAGGGCAGTTGGGAGGACAAAATACACACGTAATTGCTGGAGCCTCACAGCGGCTCAGGGCGTGGCAGCTCCTGCTATCACGGCTGCTTTTGTGTTTTGTTTTTAACGGTTCACTATTAGACCTCAGTTGTGACAGGGCTGTCTCTGGGTTGTGGACATTCCTGATGTCCATCGACAACTCTTGTCCAGGGTGACTCCAGGCTGCTGTCACCAGTCTGGGGAGGACCAGACCCAGGCCCAGCCCAGAAGCGCAGGCTTTGCGAGCAAACCCAGGAAGAACAGTCCAGGGCTAACAGAGGTGGGGGGAGCACCCTCCTCCCCACTTTGCCTGGATGCCTGCTGCTTTGTGACACAGCTTCCAACTGGCTTCCAGAGTGACAGAAATGGATTGGAGCCCTTCATCACTGTGGATCCTTGGCACGACTTCCGTAGCAGCCCACGTTTCCTGAGTGGCTCTCTGCCAGGCTGGCATCTCAGCCACTGGGCCATGCCAAGATCCGGGTACAAATCCCTGGGCTTGGAGAGAGAGGGGTCCTTGCATTCACCCCAGCCATCACTCCAGCTCACACACATGCACACACGTGCACACACGCATTCTGGGGATTTATTTATGATCTGCTCGGGTATAAATTCAATTGTGCTTAATCCACTCCCATTCAGACCCATAGTTATCAGTGCCTGTTATATGCAGTGTCCTGTACATGCTACAGGAGCAGAGGGGAGACAGGGGCAGAGCCCATCAGGAGATTCCAGCACAGTCAAGGGCTTAGAAAAAGCTGATAGTCCCAGCACAGAATGGCACATGAGGTCTTCAGGAGCTGGGCAAAGCCCTGTGGGAGCTCTGAGCAGGAGCACATCAAGTTGGGGGACTGAACAAGGCTTCCTGGAGGAGGGGACATTTGGGAGGTCCCAAAGGATAGGCAGGATTTGGACAGAGAGATAAAGGTGGAGGGGAGAGATTGTTTCAGGCAGTTGAAGGGAGAACAGAGACAGGCAAGGTGGGGTGTGTTTGGGGCCCAGGGAACAGTCCGTTGGCTGTGAAGGGGAGAAAGTAGGAGTCAGAGCTACAAAGCTAGGTTGGGGCCACATTATACAAGATCTTGGGTGCCAAAGTGAGGAGTCTGTCATTAAATAGGAGGCAGTAGGGAGCCATGGACAGTTTTGAGCAGGTAAGAGTCATGATTAGAATCATCTGGTAGCAGTTTGGGCTGGGTCTGGGGACAGAACCGAACAGATGAAGACTGCAGAGAGGGATGGCATCCCCACGGGTATGTTGGCACTGTGCCCTGAAATCCCCTCTTCATCTGTTGGCTTCCAAGCTGGCTGCATGTGTGTGTGACTCGTGGGGTGGGAGGGAAAAAAGATGGCACTGAGGTTGGGGTTCCTGGGTACAGTGAACAGACCCACAGCCAAACAGGGGCCCGGCAACGGGACTTCAGTGGGAGAGGGAAGACAGCGAGTCTGGGTGGGACCATGATGCTTGGGGGTGTTGGAGCTGGGGGGAACGGGCTTCATCTCCTGGCTCTGCAGCGGAGAAGCCGTCTTCCAAGACGAGCATCCAGGCTGGTCTCCGAACTCAGAGGCTGGCTCAGAGAGTCACTGACCGTCCATGCGTGTGTCCACAGGGACAGCGAGCTGCCAGTGCGTGTCCTGGTGTCTTCCCACCTCTCTGCCAAGCCTCATCCACTGTCGTCTGCGCTTTCTGGGTTTCCTGCCTCATTCCTCTCTGCCCCCAGGGTGGGGGTGGGGGCGGGTGGTGACTCCGTTCACTGGCCGACATCCCCAAGGCTCCCTGCGGATGAGGGTACTCTGTGGGCTTCTCACAGGCTATCAATGTCCCTGCAGGACAGAAAGGCAGGGTGGGGTCTTAGACAAGGACGGCGTCCAACACAGACTCAGGGCCTGAGTGGAGGGCAAAGTCTGGCTCTGGTCAGGCTAAACGCCAGCCTGGAGAGTGGCCCTGAAACAGGGCTGAGGATTCCCTCTGAGCTGCACAATGCTTGACTGACAGGCCTTTAAAGGGGGCCCCTCCTCCCTGCCGCCTGCCTCGGGAATCCTGGAGCCCAGGCCAGGCTGCCTGAGCACCAGCCTCCAGGGCTCTCATTAGAGAAAGGCTGGAGGTGAGGCCAATGGGCAGAGCCTCTTGCTGCCGGCAAGGACTGCAGAGTCCACAGTCTTAGGAATGGATGGTGTGTGACGGGGAGAAGGGGGTCGTCAGTACAAGTCCGTCCCAGTGTCCCACACACCTCACTGAAGCTAACACAGGATCTTCAGGCGGACCCCATAAGAGGGGACAAGATGAGAAGTGACAGGACCAGCTGATTGTCTCAGCCCACGGCTCTGGAAAGAGCAGAGCCATGGGCAGTGGAGGGCAGGGCCCAGGCCTCCCAGGGGACCCGGACATGCCAGGCAGAGCAGGGTAGAGGGCCATGGTAGACCCTGTGAGGCTGGAGGTGTTTCCCCCTACCCCTCCCCATGGGCCAACCTGGGCAGGGCATCGAGGGCAGCCTCCCTGTCTACCCCTGAGCCCTTCGTTCGAGGTTGGCCAAACGTGAACCTGGGGTGGGCCGGCCAGTGTAGGAGCTGCAGGAACGGAGCTGGCTGGAGGGAGAGATGCCAGGAGTCAGGGAATCATCCTGGGCCTGCCAAACTTTCCTCAGCCCTGGGCAATTACCTGGCCACAAATCACAAAGAAACCATGGCGCAGGCACCTTTGTGAGCCTAATGGAATATGCAAGAGGCCTGGGAGGGCATAAAAATTCAATCAGCCTGGCCAAACTGGTGCTGAGTTCATCAGGAGGCAGCGAGGTTGCTGCACAGGATGGGACAGAGGTTGGGGTGGAGGCTCTGGGTGTGGGCTGGTCTCCAAAGTCCAACAGACACCCTCACCGTCTCCCTGCCACAGGCCTCCTGAGTCTTAGCTCAGAAGTCCTCTGGACCCATCAGGGGTCAGCTTCTTCCTCCAGTGTGGCGGAGGACACCAGTCCCTGAGGAGGCTCCACTTCCAGAGGGGTTGGGGGGCTGTCCGGAGGGTACGTAGGGTCGGCTCTCTCCACCTTGCAGGGGTCAGAGCCAAGTCTGCAGAGCCAGCCCCAAAGCCTCTCAGCCCCAGCAAGGACAGTATCAAAACATCCTGGGACCTCAGATCGTCGTGGGAGGAAAAGAGGACACAGCTGAGCTGTCCTGGGAAAGCTATGTGGGGGTCACAGCACAGGGACAAGATGACGTAGATGCCACTTAGTAGGTGTGACTTAACCTCTCTGAGCCTTAATTGCCACTTCAGAAAAATGGCCGAAATGATAGAAGTCACTTCAGAGAGTTGGTGAAAGGACTAAGTGGTATAAATTCACACCAAGCATTTAACACAATTCCTGTGTACAGCACGTGCTCAAATGCTATTATACCATTTGTTTGAATTTAGGCTTTGAGTCAAGTCTCAGAGACTAGAGGTGTAT